TGTATTTATAGGCTATAAATAAACTTCAGTTATAATTCTCGGTAACAAATAATAAACACATCTCTGATAGTCTTAAATATATATTTAATTCATTAAAAGTCTTTTTAAAATATATGTAAATTTATATTATATATAATAATTTATATATAATATCGTCGATATTCGTGAGCGCGCCGGTAGCCTACGAGTCGTAGGCTATTGATGAATAGGGGTATTAATCGAGAGCACAGTTAGCGTTAAGTCAATCATTAAAAATTATAATTACATTAAGAAATCAATGAATTTAAATAAAACAGTTGTCCGACGACTGAATGACTCGATCGGCACACAAATGCATTAAAACAATAGTTTTACCTTAAATTACAGGGACTGGGATGAGCGGTAATGGATAGGGAGGGGAACAGTAGTGTGTGTATTGGATACACATTTGTCTGTATATATAATGTCTAAGAGTATTGAAAAAAAACTCAAAAAATAAAATTCAAACTAAACATAAATACTAAGCAGTCGTTTGAGGGCATAGGTTGTCCCGAGGGGAACGGTAGGGTTGACAGCGATAATGGCGTACAATGAGAGGCATCGGGTCCACCGAAACACTCCATGAGTCCAATGGATGAGTGAGTGGGCGAACACTTCACTACCCGTTTGTACGGCACGTATTGAGCACTTGTTTAGTGATGACAACAACGTTATGATTGACTTATCATTGAAATTAATATTCAGTTTTTTAAATATTAATCGCTTTTCGCTATAAATTGTTTTGTAAAAACGATAGCAATAGTGTCTCGTAGTGTTCGGAGCACTGGGAGTGCCTTAGACTGTGTCTCTCAAACGGGTATACCTATCGGCGAAGTCATATAAATTCAATTAAATATCACAATTAATTTTCAACACAATTATCGCCACAAAAAACGCTTACATTTAACTGATAGGGTTTACCGGCGTTCACCAGCGCCTGTACCAACTGAACGGTGTGCGCGAAGTGCACGTTCTCGTCCATTAAGCCATGGATTATCAACAAACGGTTCTCCCTATCAATGCAAACCGACCGTACAATTAATACCAATTATGTACGCAAACGGCTGTCCACTTACTCATTGGGAAAGGAGTTTATATGTGTCATAACGTTCCCCAACCGGTAGCCCTCGGGGTTGTTAGCGGGCGTATCCATATACCTCTCGGTATACCCCGTGTCATACAATTGCCAATTAGTGACCGGAGCGCCGGCTATCGCGCACTTGAAGATGTCTGGTCTCTGGGCCAACGCCATGAGGGACAGGTAGCCTCCGTACGACCATCCGTGCACTGCTATGCGCGACATGTCTATGAAGTCGGTGTTCTCGGCCAACCACTGGAGCGCCTCCACCTGATCGGCGATCTCTACCTGTCCTAACCGTCTGCGACAGTGGGCCTCGAATTGGACGCCTCTATGCTTAGAGCCCCGGGAGTCGAACGCCACCACAATATAGCCCTCGGAGGCCAGTAAATGGCGGCGACAGTGGCGCACGGCTTAAGACACAATCAAAATCTCATTAAAACCCGTAAAAACACTCCAAAAATCTCAATCCAAACATACCTTTAAACGATTTGCTGACTAACTGCACTTCCGGTCCGCCGTAGATCTCGAGCAGCACCGGATACCTGACCCCCGCCTCCATGCACTCGGGCTTGAAAATGAACCCATAGATCAAATCCCCGGACTTCAGCCTATAGTCGAACAGCTGCGGCGCCGCCATTCCCGGCAACAGATCTATTTGGTCGCTATCCTCGCCCGGGTTGGCCGTAGTGCCCAAAAACAGGCGCACCGGCTCGGCGTCGGGCAAACTGGCGCCTGGAGTCGCACTGACCAGCTTCTGGAGGTACCCGAACGGCGGTATCGTTATGTTGGACTGTATGTCCACGAAGTACTTGTGCGACGGGTTGAACGCGATGGTCGTGTGCGAGAAGTCCTCGGCGGTCAGCCGTTTGGGCGACAGTTTCGGGTAATTAAGTGACACGACATAAAGGTGCCGCTCCAGCGGCGACTCCTTGAGTCCGCAGAAGTAGACCAGTCCCTGGTGTTCGTCGCACCAGACATCCCTGTCCGACACCTCCCAATTGCCGTGAGTTAACTGCAATTTACTGACCAGTTTTGAGCGTAGCGTCGCTATGGACTCGAAGGGTGCGGTGGTTTGGTGTCGACCGTAGTCCGAGTCTTAAGGTTCGTACAAATAATGCAATCAATTAGTGGACAAACAGATAATCAACACTAAGACTAAGTAAACGGTGTATTCAATACTATCGGTATATACTGGTATATAATTTAGTCGCTTATTAATTGTGTTTATAATAAAAAGTATGTGAAGTTTTATACACTAAAAAAGTTAAATTAAAAGCGAGTCTAATGTGTAGTTTACGGCAATTAATGAGTTTATAAATGGCTTACTGTGTGACACATTAGGAGTGGTGCCAAAAGTGGTGCCATTAGCACTGGTATTCCCTTCATCACTACTGTTCCCTAAATGAAAAACAACATAAATTTATTTAATTTAAGCCAAAAAGTAAAATTAAAACTATTAAGTTTCATACGGTACTATCATATGGAATAACACAATTTTTTAACACAAAACTACTAATAAGCCTATAATTAATTAAACGAATAATAAAATACCAGTAAATACACTATTAGAGACCACACTACACTCCAACTACCGGTGCTGTAAACATAAAATACAAATCAATACCTGATTTACTTCGTTGCGAGTAATCTATACTGAAATCTGAAACAAACAAACAAAACTCAATTAAAATACCATAAAAACCAAACAAAAATCTTAAACCCAAACCTGATCTCTGGTCGAGTTTAGGCTGTTTCGCACCGTTAGTATCCTCTTTCACAGCCACCACTGGTTCACCGGTATTCTTATCGGACTGGTGTTCACTCATACTATCATCGCCCGGACTATTGGCCACTAATTCGACTTCTATTTGATACAAATGCCGAAACCCTGACTCCTCGGACGACCACAAGAACCGCAATCGGGAACCGCTCGCCAACTCATCGCCCGAATCGGCGCCAAAGAAGTGCAACACGTCGTGACAGTTGATCCACTGAGCGGTGGTCTCCTCGTAGATAATCTGCGGCGCAAACAAGTCCTGCAGTGACATCAGCGCCAAGACTAGATGCGATTGACTCCTGTCCAAGAGCTGCACCCAAATGGCATCGTATGAATGCCATCCACAGCGCACTAAATACTCAAACGAGGGAAAGGTGTCCGACAGCGACTTCGGCAGCGATGAGATCTTCACGTCGCTTATCAGTTGTGTCATCGGATTCAACGAAAAGGTCACAATCGATAGCGAGGACTCGGCGTTACACTGACCTGCCGTTCATATGTCGAGGAATAGACAAAATGGCCGTTAGTTTCGTGATAATCACTGACAGATACATCAAATTCAGACACAAAGTGGTCAACAAAATGTCTATCAATTAACAAATACGCCACAAAAAGGGCTATAAAACAAAAGACATAATCTGCGAACACATACCGGCGCGCGGGAACCGGTACTCCTCGACAGTGCCGTCCCAATTGGCGATCTTAATCACGTCGACCTCACTCTCGTCGACAAACTCGCAGAGAATACTGTAACTGATATCACCAGAAGTGCTGTCGATGTGGTCGTACTCGTTGTCGGGTCGCCACCAGAACCCGGTATACCTCCGGAACTCCTCCTGAATCACGTACGACGGCATACCGGCCGACACGACCCCGGAGTCGGCGTCAAACTTGGTCTCCGTCAGCCGGAACTCGAAACCGCTCTTAAGATTACAGACCCAGAGGTCGCCGTCCGCCACATACCCGACCAGATTCGGGTCCGACGGACACAACTGGGGATTCATTTTGGCGAAAGTGGTCGTCGACTCCAACTTATTGGGCAAATAGGGCGGCGCTTTGGGCG